TAATAAGTAATAGTAAATTATCTAAATTTACACATGTGTAATCGGAAAATGGCCGATTCATGCTGTAACAAAGTGAACATTGGTGTTACCAAAGATTTCAGGGATCAAAATTTAGTCATTTGTAATGTGATTATATAATTAATTAATATTAATATTAATTTAATTTTATCGTGATTTTTCATTGGTCGATCTTATTTAATTTCTGTTTTTAAAGTCACCTCGTGATTTATATTATTTAGTAACTTCTTATTTTACTTCAATTTATCATCAATAATGTCAAACAAGTTCTCTGCTTACTTTCATGAAACTTCAGTGAGAGATTACAGCTTTCTGAGTTTCTATCAGTGTCATCAGCAGCAACATGATTTCACTTTTTCTTATAGAAGGGAGGCCCTTAAACTCAAGAATGATCTCAACAAACTAATGAATGTTGATTCAGAAGAAGTTAAAACAGTCGTAAGGAAATTGTTACAGGATTTTAAGGCAAATAATTATGCGACTAGGAGAGTTTATTGTGCAACCTGCTCTCTGATGTTTGCATATCTGTTGTATACCACAAGATTTTCTCTTGTGCACACAACTACAATGGACACTTGCATACTGTTCACTTTATGGCTTGTGTACCTGTTGTGTGTCTGTTGTGACCAGCTTCCAGTCATTGCTAGTTTTTTTTTTTATACTATTTCCTCAATCACTATACTCACTCACCCCTTGACTTCTGACTACTATATAAGAATCACTGCAAAAGATACCATGATGTCAAGATATTTTGGAATGAAATAGAATCATCTATTACCAATTTGAGTTTAAGGTTAGACAAGGTTGGTTCATTATATTATTGTTTTTTGAGTTCCTAGTCTAATTCAGACTTGTGTTGACTGATATCCTGATTAGACAAAAACTGCTTGAACAGTGATGCATGGTACTAAAAATTTGATTAAGACCAGGGATGTTAAATTTTTATTCCAGTGACAAATAACTGGAACATGGAATACTGGAACACCACTGGAATACTCAATGGAACAAGGGGTGTTATGCGCCACATTGGAACACTGGAATTTTCATATTCCAGTGATTCCAGTGTTCCAATGATTATTCCAGTGTAATAACCCATTTTGATAAAAAAAGTCAAGAAAGCTTTGCAGAAAACCAAATCATGTATTTCATGAATTTATTTATACTGATAAAAATATAAAGATAATCAGAGCAATTATCTTACAATCCGTAAAGGATGTACAACAAAAAAAGATTCAATAATGCTAAAACAGAAGTCCAAAATTTCAAACACAATGAAAAGCATTGGGAAACACTTGTTAGATCGTGAAAATTTTAAAACTTGCTATTCTGATAAAATTGAATTTGTAGAAAATCATCTTGAAATAATCAAACAAAAAGAATTGCAAAATAGATCAAATGATCTGGTAAATATTTAACAATTTAATTAATATTTGATTAATTGTTTTAGGTGATACTGGTATTATTAATATTGAAGATAATATTTTTTCAGAAATTTCTACTTATTTAAACATGTAAGAAATAATTCTCAAATTAACATTAAATCATTATCTTGGTAGGCCTTTACAAACAAATATTTGAAATGTTATTGTTAAGGATGACAGTCTCTAATGGCTAATCATTCCAATGGGTAGAAAATGAAGAAACAAATGCTTTAAATTTGTTTACTCATTAAAAATTTTAAATTTTTTCTTTACAAATTTTATGACTAAAAATAAAAAATTTCATTAGCTGAATTCCGGTGTAACCTTGTATTCCAGTGAAAAAGACTGGAACACCGGAATAATGGAACAATGGAACACATAATTCCAGATTCCGAATTCCATTACATAACAACACTGATTAAGACCGCTTTCAACGAAATTGACAGCACACTGAAAAGTGATATAAAAAGCTCTACTTCTAATAACACATTGGTATGTTTGTTTATCTGTGTTTTTTTATGCGCCTCTCTCTTGTTTCCGCATTACAAGTGATTAAAAACTCCATGTTCTTTATATTGAATTTCAAGAATGAAAAGAAACGGTCAGCTGAGGAAGTCCTTTCCATTACTTTGTCTTATAATCTCCAAGATAGTGTTCCTCTTCACGAGAATGTCAATTTATATAATCACGATAATTCATCAATCGAAGTTAAACACTTTATTAAAAAGATGAAAGATGTCAATGATCGTCTTTTCAATTATAATGTTGTGACAAGGTTGGCAAATTGATGGATTTTGGACTGGTACATTAATGTAATACTTTAACCATATTTAGTATTTTATTAATGGCAATGGACCCAATAGACCATTAATGGACCGCATATTTGCCAACCCCGTGTTGTGAATCT